AGGAGGAGGAGGAGCAGGAGGAGGAGGAGGAGCAGGAGGAGGAGGAGGAGGACGACAACGTGGAGGAGTCGCGTCGTCCAGATGGACCGCCGAGATGGAGGAGGAAGCCCCCCTCCTCCCTCTCGGCGGCCCTGGCACCGTCACAGGCCTTGTTCCCCAACGCCGCTGGCGCGACCCGGCCTCCCCTGGCCGGCCCGCCGCGCCCCCCCCTTGAGCAGCGCCGCGCGGGGCCTGCAGAGTGGCGACGGGTACGGTCGGGGCGCCGACCTAAGGAACCCCAAAATAGGAACGAGGCCCCTTTTCTCCATACGTTGAACCTCGATTTCGTATCGAAAACCTAAGGAAAATCTGAGGCAGGCTGCGAAACAATTGAGGAACACGGAGCCCCTCCCCAACGAAAAGGGTTCCTTCTTCAGGGCACCGACTGGCTCTCCCCGTGGAGAACGCGGACGCGGGGAAATACGTATTGGCGGCGCGCACACGGGGGTGGGGGGAGGGGGGAGGGCTTCTTAGAAGCAGGCTGCTTCTTAGAAGGCGCCGGCTCTACATCTGAAGATAAGGCCCGCGCCTTCTAAGAAGCAGGGGTGCTTCTAAGAAGCCCTCCCCCCTCCCCCCACCCCCCTCTGCGCGTGGCAAATGTAAGACGAAACCAGGACGAGGACAGGGTCGGGTGAGCACAGGTCGAGAATCTCTGAGATCCGGTGCGGCGTCTGGCCTACTCAGTCACATGCCGCCGCTGCACGTCTCGGGCGCCGCAGCTTTCTCAGAGTCCCGCCAGGCCTGCTTCGCACTCGCTGGTGAGGAACACTTCTTGCTGACGGAGGGCAGGCGGCGGGGGTTGGCGGGGCGGCTGGTTGGCGAGGCGGCTGGTTGGCGGGGTGGCTGGTTGGGCTGGTTGGCGGGCTGGCGGGTTGGGCTGGTTGGGCTGGTTGGGCTGGCTGGTTGGACTGGCTCGGGCAGTGGGCTTCGACCGCCACTCCCCCGACCTCTCCAGGGGGGTGCGCCCTGACTGGAAGAACGAGGTCTGGCCGCGGTCACGATGGCTCTCCAAGCCGAGCCACGGTATCGGAACGCGTTCCTCTTCTGATGCCCATCCGCGCGGCCGTAGTCCTGCCGCTGGTGGCACGCGTAGCGCCGAGGCAGAACTGCCACAAGCGGCGCAACGTAACAGTCGTGTGCTCAGGGCGGGGGGGGCGCGCGCGCGAGGTGAGCACGAGGATGGCCCTCGGACGCCAGAGAGCAGACAGGGGAACGGAGATGCGGCGCGGGGAGGTACATCCGCATCCACCGCCTGGGAACCGATGCCCTGGGACCCAAGCGGGGGATCTGGATTTTCTTCGACCCCGGGGGGGCTCCAATACGGCAGAAGGAAACAACTAGTGGACACTCCCCCCTCCCCCCCAAAACTCCAAGTTGGCACGCGCGGGGAAGACTGCAGTCGAAGTGCAGCTCATTCAACCCACCGCCAACATTGATCATTGGGGGGAGGGTATTGCCAGATGAATGCGGCATGATGCTAATCTCTTCCGAGGCCTGTATCTCCAGAGCCCACCGCATGCCGAGGTCCACAAAGCCCGATCCCCCCGGCGGTGGTGATGGATACACCCCCGCCCCAGAGGAGGAGGGGGGACAGGCGGCTTGCCTGCGACTGAGGGGGAGGGGGCGCACGAGAGACGCGCGCGCGAGAGGGGGAGGGGGCGCGCGAGAGACGACGGCGAGCGGCCTGGGAGGGGGGCGTACGGAGAGGGGAGGACCCAGACAGCAGACGTCCTGGTCGCTGCTTCTTTCAGCATTCAGCACGGGGCCAGTTCCTCATCCCGAGCCGTTCTCTGACGGCCCCTGGGCCCGGCGAGGACCCCCGGAACCCGACAACTGGCACAAGCCTCCCGTCGGGACGCACACACGTCAGACTTCGAGCAAGAGCTCGGACCGCGGCGGACGTTCGGGACGATCCAAGCACCCCTGGAGTGCCCTCGGCGAGACGCAGCTTCCGGAAAGCATCCCGAGGCTGGAGCGCCTCCCTGGGAATCCATGACACGGCCACGAGGATGAGCCTGCCTGGGGAGGGGAGGCGTGTGTAGAGGCCTCCTGGATGGGGTCCGCGTAGATGGGATCGGAGGATCGCGCAGCATCGCCAATGCATCGCCGACGTCGCCGGTGTATCGGCGATGCCAGCGTTGGGAAAATCGGGTTCCGCATCGAGCCTCATCGCCGATGCATCGGCGATGCGGCGCGATCCTCCGACCCCTTCTGCTCGGGCCCTTAGTTGTTCTTAAAAACGCTGGGGGCGTTTTTTTTCCGTTTTCAACTTCTGGCGTTGCGGTCGACCAAAACAGAACAAAAACGGTAACGCAAAACGTGCCCAAAACGATGTGGCCAGGACCAAAACGTAACAAAAACGGCGGGCGAAAACGCACACAAAACGGAGAACCAAAACAGAAAAAAAACGGCACGGGCTTTGAGAGGTTCGCAAAAACGGCGATGAAAACGTACAGCAAACGGCAGGTGAAAACGATTAAAAAACGGATCGCAAAACGAACCGAAAACGGCAAGGCGCAAATCCAAAACAGAAAAAAAAACGGTTCCCAAAACAGAAAAAAAACACGTCGATCTCCAAAACGAAAAAAAAAAAACGTCCCCAGCGTTTTCAAGATCATCTAAGCTCGGGCCCCATCTGGGAGGCCTGGAGTGTGGGGGCCGAGGGGAGGGCCTTGTCATGCCTGGCGCCGCGCATCGCTCCGCATCCGCCCCCCATCGCTGGCTGCGCGGGCCGTCCGCTCGGACGGCCGCCGCGGCAGCCCCCGGCAGGGCTGCCAGCGCACCCGAGGGGGGGTGGGCGGCTGGCTCGGGCGCTGGAGGCGCGACGAGGCGCTGGGGCGAGTGAGAATGGAATGGGACGTGCGACTGCGATGCCGCAGGCGTACAGTCGGGGCGTTGACCTGAGGAACCCCAGATAAGGAACGGGGCCCCTTTTTTCCATAAGTTGAATTTCGATTTCCCATAGAAAACATAAGGAAAACCTGAGGCAAGCTGTGAAACACCTAAGGAACGCGGAGCCCCTCCCCAACGAAAAGGGTTCCTTCTTCAGGGCCCCGACTGTATGCGATCAGAGATCTTTGAAGGCCTTCTGGATGGGGTTCGAGTAGATGGGGTCGAAGGATCGCGCCGCATCGCCACTGCACCGCCGATGTGTCGGCGGTGCATCGGCGATGCACCAGCGGCGTCGGTGGTGCATCGGCACCGCCGGCGTGGAGGAAATCGGCTCCGCATCGAGCCGCATCGCCGATGCATCGGCGATGCGGCGCGATCCTCCGACCCCATCTACTCGGACCCCATCTGGGAGGCCTGGAACCTTGCTCTGAGAAATCTGCGATCGCCTTCGAGGTCGGCCTTCGAGCTCCCTCAGGTGCTCCAGTGCTTCTGTGGGTCCCAGTGGCCATTCAGGGGATGAGGAATTCCCGTGGGGCACTGACACAGAAGGCAGTTTCTCATTGAATGTGCCGCTGCGAAATGGGAGCCCACAGCTGATGCCAAGGTGCCCCCCGGGGGTGCTGCCAGGGGGGGGCCTACAGGGTCGAGGTGCGCATCACCCGATGATGCTGACACACGTGCTGCAAATGATGGCTCCGAATCGTGGGTTCATCGGTGGGGCACGCACGGGGATTCGGCTCAATTCTCGACACAACCGTCGATTGAGCAAGGACCGACCGTCCCGGCCTCCCTCTTGGCCTCCCACGAAATGTTCTTAGAGCACAACAATGTTCTAATAACAAAAGCAATGTTCTTAGAACATGAGTCCGATGTGTTAAAACAAAACAGTCCCAGCCAGAAATGTTCTAAGAATATTTCGAGGAAGCTCTTAGAATATTGTTTGGTAGGCCTATAGGCACGCCGTAGGCACGCCAGGACGCTTCGCCACTGCTTGAGTCGAGGTCACCTAGCCTGAAGAGCCCAGGGCCCCAAACTTTCGCTGCTCGGGGAGGTACATCCCAAGAGCGCGGTCGCCAAAGTGCTCCAGACCGCGTGATTATGGGGGACACGAAATGCAGATACTACTACTCCACGGCCCTCTCCTGGGGCGCGGTCTGACCAGGATTTAGAGGCGGATCCAGCCATGGTGACGAGGGAAGGGCAGCGGTATCGGTGCCTTTCCTCTTCTGGTGATTCGCCCAAGTGGATGACTGTGTATCTATCATGTTAGAACCCGTGTTATTATTCGCGATTTCGCCCGTGACCAGCCCCAGCCCCTCCCCCTCCCCCCTTCCCTGGTCACGTCATGATTCGCGCTGGCGCAGTGGGTGGGAATCAGGCACTCCGAAGCATTCCCATCCGTCGCTGGCGTGAATCGTGAGACCGGCCACCACTTCCCGCCCCACCCCAAGGTCACGCCCTTCATCTGAAGGAGAATTGGGACACACAAATAGATAGACACACAAATCACCAGATTCCCCCATATTTTTAAATATTTTCTGGGTTCTTGTCTTTCCCCCACTTCCCATAGTTTCCCATATTTTCGGGGGAATCGACGATGAATAGTGTCTGTGTGTTTTTTCCCCTTTTGATTCTCGTCTCGTCGCCGCGGCACAAAGCAAAGGCAACCCGCACGGGCGCTCGCCTGGCCAGGGCCGCTCGGCAAGCTCACTGTCCGGCTGCAAGGAGGGGGAGCGCGCGGGGAGGAGCGCCTGCTGAGGACCGGGGGGGGAGGAGGGCGACTCCCCCCCTCACCTTGAGTCGGGCGTGTCCCCCTACAGGGGGATTTTCGACATAAAAAATACGGAAAATACTCCAACATGGTGAAAAAATGCTCCAAAAATAGTCCCCAGACTATTTTTAAAACGATTTTTGAATATTCCCCCTGTGGAGGGACAGGCCCGACTCAACCCTAACCGAAGAAAAAACCAAACCGAGGAAGAACCCAAACCGAGGAAGAACCCAAGCCGAGGAAAAAGCCAAAACGAAGAAAGGAAACACAATCGGAGGGACAAACACCACATAGGGGAAACAGACTTCGGAATAACAAAAAACAATATGTGGAACACCGTGCAGGGTGAGCGCGCCGGTGCGGCCAGCCCGGGCCGGTGCCGACCGGGAGCAGGCCGTGCACAAGCGCGCCGCTGCACCGCGTGGCGATGCTGCTCTCCGGGGGCTGCGCCGCGAGGTGCACACAGGGGAGGCAGCGAGCGGTCTGAAAGGGGGACCGACCGTCCCACTCTCGGGTCGGGCGAAAGGGGGGGATGGCAAAGGGGGAGTTTGAGAACCAGCTCACGTAGCTGATTTCCCCGGCGCCTCCCGGCGCCGGAGGCGCCTATGTGTCGAGGAATGGGCCCCTCGGTGAGGCCGAAACCAGCTGCATGCAGCAGATTTCATACCCCTCCTTTCCCAATCCCCCTCTTTCGTCCGGCCCGACACTCCTGCAGGCCCAGCACAACATGCTCTCTCAGAACAGGAGAGCGCTACAAAGGCAAAGACGATGCTCCTATGACGTGTGAGCGGTCCATTGCAACAGGGCTGCTTCAGTCAAAGATGTCCGACGAAAGTGGCTTCCGCAAGCCACAGAACGCTCTGAACAAACGTTCTTCGGTGGGCCTCCAAGTTGGGTGACAATCAACGAACGCGAATTGAAGTCGCACCGCGGGGAACTTGCCGTTCCCTCCAAAGTAAAGGCCAGCGCGTCGAGGTGCGCGGTCGGGAGCCCGGCGCGCCCGTCAGCTTCGAAAGGGCCGCGCAACGCAGAGCATCCCAACCGGCGCGCCCGTCAGCTTCGAAGGGGCCGCTCAACGAAGAGCATCCCAAATACGCCTCTCAACTTTGCAGAGGCCGCCCCACGATGACGCATCGTCACCTGGCGGCGTCGCGCGCAGTGCTAACCCTGAAATGTCTTCAGGAACCCCCCAAACAGGGGGTAACTAATCATTTTCCGGCGGCCTGAATTGAAGGACTGGGGTCCCACCAACTGTGGTAACTAATGACTTGGTTTCCGTGGCACCCGCCGCACAGCAACGACGACGACAGCTAATTACGACTACGAGTGCGACTACGACTACGACTACGACTACGACTACGACTACGACTACGACTACGACTACGACTACGACTACTACTACTACTACTACTACTACTACTACTACTACTACTACTACTACTACTACTACTACTACTACTACTACTACTACTACTACTACTACTACTACTACTACTACTACTACTACTACTACTACTACTACGACTACTACTACGACTACGACTACGACTACGACTACGACTACGACGACTACTACTACTACTACTACTACTACTACTACTACTACTACTACTACTAGTACTGATGCCTGGAGGAGAAGGAGGAGGAGGAGGAGGAGGAGGAGGAGGAGGAGGAGGAGGAGGAGGGGCGCACGTGACCGAAAGAGAAGAGGGCTGGCGGACAAGAGCAGGAACGAGAAGAGGGCAACACGAATCCTCGACTCTCACCCCAGCAGGGCGGCCAGGCCTGGGCGACGCCGCTGAAGCTGGGCGAGTCGAGCATCCCCAAGGAGGAGGATGAGGAGGAGGAAGAGGAGGAGTATCTAGAAGTATCCATGAAGGGACGAGCGTCCGACAGAAACATAACGAGTTGGGACGGGTCAGGAGGAGGAGGAGGAGGAGGAGGAGGAGGAGGAGTAGGAGTAGGAGTAGGAGGAGGAGGTTTGGGGAACAGCCCTGCCCACCGCCGAGAAACAAGAGGGGGGGGGGAAACCAAGACAAAAGACCTCTGGCGGTCAACGGACCTGGGGAAACCAAAAGGTACCGATACCGCTACTCCCCAGACCTCTCCCGGGGTGCGTTCTGACCAGAATTTTGAGGCGAATCCAGCGGTGGCGACGAGGGCATCCAAGGAGACCCCCAAAAAAGGAAAAACGGGCGAAGGGTAGCGGTACGGGTACCTCTTCCTCCTCTAAGGACCTGCCTGGGCGGGTCCGGGCGCCTCGCCGCCCTGACCCGCCAAACAATTCCCCAAAGATGCCCAACAATATGTTTTAAAAAGAGTCCCCAGACTAATTTTGGTCTATTTTGCCCTACCTAGGCTCTGCCTAGAAGGGTTCTTACTTTCTGGCTTGGAGGGACCGGGCAGTGTAAAGCGCCTCGGGCGGTTCCCCCGGTCCCCTGGGAGCGGTCCCCCCAGTTGCGCTTCCTGGGTGCCCAGCAAATCAAAAGCAAAGGCAAAAGCGAAGGCAAAAGCGAAGGCTCCAACTCCTAGGTAGGGTCGCACTGGGATAATTGAATCTTCCCCCCTGCAGGGGGACAGGCCCGACTGAAGGTCAGGGCGCCTCGCCGCTGCTCCAGCGGTGCTCGACGGCCGCCGTCGCGCACCGGCCCGGCAGGCCCGCGGCGGTGCACCGCGGGGCGGTGGGCGCGCCCTGGCGGGCTGGCGTGTTGGAAGGGGCCACGGCGGGGCTGGCGTGTTGGCGTGTTAGGGCTACTCGCGCCCCGTTTAGCTCTTGACCATAAGGGGCCCGCTCCCGACCCGCAGACCCGCAGACCTGGCGGACTTGCGTGTTTGAAGGGGCCCAAGGACACACAAATAAACACACACAGATAAAAAGGTCCCCTATCTTTTCCCATCTTTTCTGGGTTCTTGTCTTCCCGCCCAATGCCTATAGTTTCCCGTATTTTCGTGGGGATCGTCGATGACTTGTGTCTGTGTGTGTTTTTCCCTCCTGAGTGCTGGCGGCCACGGCGCGCTGGGCACGCGCGCGGGTCCTCCTTTCCAGACCTCCTCGCGTCGTGGAAAAATCACGACGGGATGTTTTTCGCAATTTTTTGAGGGGCCACAGGCGAACCCTGCCCCTACCCCCACGATTTCTGAGGGGGAGGGTGGGGTTCACTCCGCTCGGGAGCTCCCGAGCGGAGCGAACCCCACCCTCCCCCTCAGAAATCGTGGGGGGTAGGTGCAGGGTTCGCCTGTGGCCCCCAATGTTCGGCCTCCGGGGGCCCTTCCCGGGCCCCTGGGACCGTAACAAAAAACGGCTCAGGACGAAAAACCGGTCCCGGGAAGGGGTCCAGACCTCTGCATTTCTATCCATTACATTTCCCGCATGAAACAGGCACCACGTTGCGTGACCCGCAGGCGGGTGGATCACTATTGGGATGTTTTTGCCCCAACCAGATCCCAAAAGTCAACAAATACCCCCCGACGAAGACGACAAACGACGACGACGAATTGCAGGGTCGACGCTGCGCAGAGAGCACGACGTCGGGGGTCTGGGTTCGTGGGCCGAGCGCGGATTCCGAGGGGCTCGCCCTGCTCCCCCCACTTTGCCCTCCGCACCCCCCCCCCCCCCGGTCCTCGCGCGATCCCCGCGGATTCGGTCGCACGGATACGTACGCTCCGCGCAGGGCATTTCGCGAAAGAACCGCTCGGTATCCACGGGGTCGTGGACCAAGAGCCAGGCCCAGGAGCCTGCGGATACGGATATAGTGTCCGTCCACCCCGCCCCTCAGCGGCCTGTTCAGGTCTGAATCCCAGATCGCTTCACGCCCTCTGTAGGACGACGCCAAATATACGTCCACACCCAGCCCGGCCAGGCTCATCCTGGGCCGAGGACCGCTGCATACGCCCCTGGCTCGGGCAGGACAACACATCCACCGATCCTTGACCCAAGGTCGGCCTGGCCAGCATCGGTGTAGGTGTATGATGGGTGCGCTCCTGTACGAAGAAGAGATGCGAGAACGACGGGGCAAGCCGTGAACAGACCAGATCAACTGAAGGGGCCCTGAGACACACAAATAAATACACACAAATAAAACTATTCCCCATATTGTCGCAGATGTTCTGGGTGTTTGCCTTCCCCCCCACTTCCCATATTTTCCAATATTTTCCTGGGAGTCGACGATTAATTGTGTCTGTGTGTTTCTTTCCCTCCTGATCAACCGTGAGCGCCTCGCGAGCGGTCCTCCGCAGCTCGGGGGAGGCTGGCTGCGCGGGGCCGCGGCAGGCAGGCAGCCGCAGCCTGCGTCCACTTGATCTGCTTCCACCAGACCTGCGCGCGATCGGGCAGAGGGGCAGGACGAGGAGGAGGAGGAGGAGGAGGAGGAGGAGGAGGAGGAGGAGGAGGAGGAGGGGGGGGAAGAGGAGGATGAGGAGAAGGAGGAGGAGGAAAAGGAGGAAAAGGAGGAGGAGGAAGAGGAAGAGGAAGAGGAGGAGGAGGAGGAGGAGGAGGAGGAACAGAAGGGCTAGCGCATCACGGCCCGAGGCACGTGCGCGGAAGAGGGTGGTCCAAGGGTCGTGCCGAACAGAAAACACACTAACCAAAGGTGTTGAGCAAAGGAAGGAATCGAACGGGGCCAGTCTCATTAGTAAACGCCCGAGACTGCTGAGTAAACGCCATTCATGGGGTCGGAGTGCTTTTTCCTCCCTCGATGACAGGAGGAGAAGGGGGGCATGATGACAAGCGAGCATGATACCCACACAAGTCCACACAAGTTTCAATCCCTGCTCTTCGACGCCGCCGACGCGAACCAATCTGCACTCCCAGGCCTCTGACCATGTTTCCGCAACGGGGGCAAAGACTGGGAGGGTCCAAAACGGTGCGGTGTCACACAGTCAACGCACGGTCACCCTGGAGTTAGGTCGGGCGTGGCCCCCTACAGGCGGATTTTGGAGTACAAATCCGCCGACCCTGTCGGCGTGTGAAGAGGCTGTTCCGTTTGACTCGTCCTCGTCGTCGTCGTGGTCGTTGTCGTCGTCGTCGCTGTCGCCGTCGCCGGATCCCTCCCTTTCCCTGAGCCTGGCGCCGCTGCCTCCACTTTCACCGGGCCCTCCTCCTCGAGCGCGCCAGCCACAGCGAAATTGAGCAGCGCTGTAATTGAGTCGAAGGGAAGCCCCTTCCCTTTGATCCCTTCCCCGCCGGGAGGGGGGCGGGGTCCCAGGGAGGGGGTCCGGGGGGAGGTCCCAGGGGATTGCCCCGGGTCAGATACGACTCCCCTCCGGGCGGTTCGGGAGCCCAGACAATCCCCAGGACGTAACAAAAGTGCCCTGAGAGGCCCCCAAGAATGTCCTGGCGATGCATCGTCGATGGATCGGCGATCGGCCTCCGATCGTGCATCCGCACCTTCCTGGGCAGGTTGGGGCTATCGGGCCCCCATCGGCGATCAGTGGGCGATTGGTGGTCGATGCATCCCCCCTATGCCTACTCCAGATTTCGTAATAAAAGGGAGGGGTTCTGGACCCTCCAAGACGAGCCATTTCAGACCTCCCCCGTGGGAGAACCTTCCAAAACATCGTCCCCAGACCCCCCCAGGCCCTCCAAGATAGCCGGGAAGAGACCCCCCCCGAAATGAGACCCCCCTCCCTTTCTTACGAAATCTGGAGTATCCCCCCCCTATCGTTGCCCCTGACAAGGGGACACGGGCCTGACAAGATCGGGCCGGCGCTCGAGCCGCACGCCGTCAAGGCAGGGGGGGAGGAGCAGAAGTGAGCTGGGGGCACAGACCTGCCACGTGAGCGTTTTTTCTTCTGCGGCGTCTCGACATGGGGCGGAAGAGGGAGGGGGTGGAGGGGATCTGGCTCCGGACCTCTGCGTAGCGCGACCGTTTGCGACGGTGCGTCCTTTGCGGGGAGGCTCCACCTGCTGGAAACAGGCGCCGAAAACAGCCAAGATCTACTCCGTGTGGGGGGGGGGGGGCGAGGGCTCGCGCAGATCGGCAAAACAATGAAAAACGATGACAGTGTCCTCAGAATTGTCGTGTCAGATCTTGTACTGTCCAATGCACAAGCTTCTATGGACGAGGGCGCCAAGATCGGTGCAATCTCAGAGTTATACTAATTTGAAAACGCATTCCGCACGGCAACTTGCCTGTTGTGAATAGAAGTGCTGTTTCGACTTTTTTCGAGATTCAGAACCGTTTTTTGACGGTCCCAGGGCCAGCCATCAAGGCCAGTGATAATCCTGACAGGCTCCCGAATGTTTGCGTGACCGACCCCCTGGTTCTGTTTACTTAAACAAGAGGAAGATACATGACTGCCCATGTTGAACATCAAGTGGCAACTTTCCGTGGACCATCGTGATGATCATGAGTCGCGTCTACATCGCAGAGCGGGGGGGGGCTGGGAAGTCGCATGCGACTCCTTGACAAAAACCTGGCCCCGATGTATGGACGCCGCCATTGGGGAACCAAGCAATGACATAACAGAAACAAGCAAATCGGAGGCCCGCGCCATGGGGGGGGGGGGTTAAGCGCCGATCCGAGAGATACGCGCGGACCTCCGAGTTTGTATGTTCATGTCATTGTTGGAGTCCTGGAAAGGGGGCACCAACACCAACACAGAGGGTTGCCTCCACAGGGGGAAAATTATCCAAATATTTCGGTCACCTTGGAAGCCAGAATGTCACCATCACCGAGATCGGGACCATCTTCCCTCGGTGAAGGCGCACCACCGATATTGGTGTTGGTGTCAACCTCCAGGCCTGCGACGTTGCTCGTTCCCCTAGCCTTAGGTCGGGCCTGTCCCCCTACAGGGGGATCTTAGACGAAAAGTTACCCCAGTGCGACCCTACCTAGAAGTTGGAGCCCCTAGGAAAGCAGCATTAGTTGCTATGCTATGCTATGCCATGCTATGCTGCGTTATGCTATGCTATGCCATGCCATGCTATGCTGCGCTATGCTATGCTATGATATGATATGCTAAGCTATGATATGTCATGCTGCACTGTGCTAAGCTATGCTATGCTATGCTATGCTAAGCTGCGCTATGCTATGCTATGCTATGCTATGCTATGATATGCCATGCTGCGCTGTGTTATGCTGTGTTGTGCTGTGCTGCGCTATGCTATGCTATGCTATGCTATGCTATGCTGCGCTATGATATGCAATGCTGGGGTATACAATGATATGATGTGCTGCGCTATGCTATGCTACGCTATGCTATGCTGTGATCTGCTATGCTAAAGCTCAGCGAAGCTAAGACGAAGGTAAGCTACGCTAAGATAAACCTGAGCTAAGATGAAGCTAAGCTAAGCTAATATTAAATAAGTTAAGCCAATATGAGATACGCAACGCCAAGCTAAAGGGACGTAGCTGGGGGAACCGCGGGGCGGATGCCAAAGGAACCGCCCGGGGCGGTTTCCATTGCCCGGCCCTTTAAGCACACAGGGTAAGAACCCTTCTAGGCAGAGCCTAGGTAGGGAATTACACATACCCAACAAATACTCAGAAGATGGTCAAAAATAATCAAAAATCAGTCCCCTGACTATTTTCTGACTATTTTTGAATATTCCCCCTGTAGAGGGACAGGCCCGACTTGACCCTAGCCATCGCCGCGGCGACCTCCAAAACGGACCCAGAGGCCTGGTTCGGCTGGCTCGGGGTCGGCGGTGGACAAACCTCCCTTTTAGTAGACCTCCCCTTAGTGAAAACGGCCTGGGCCCGAAACCGACGAACCTGGACCCGCGAAAATGACGGCTGCGACGCCCCCTCGCGAGCCGAGAACGGCCAATTCCTTAATCGACGTGTCAGGGTAGGAGGTCTGTCCACCCCCCACGGGGCCGGATGTCGCGCGCCTGCCGAAGGAGCCCCCGGGGCAGGGCAGGGCAGGGCCCCGCGGCGGGCACCGCGCGTGCGCTGCGGGGTGGGGCCGAAGCGCCCGGGGAACGCAGGAGAAACGTGACGGAGAGGAAGCTCCTCCTCTTCCTCCCTCCTCCTCCTCCTCCTCCCTCCTCCTCCTCCTCCTCCTCCCTCCTCCTCCTCCTCCTCCTCCTCCTCCTCCTCCTTCTTCTCCTGACGTGAGGAGAGGAAAAACGTGACAGTGGAGGCCAGTCCACAAGAAATCCAACACTGAGACCGCAGGACGTCCAGAAGGTCACGCTTGCCATGGCAGAGCCACCGAAACCCAAGGAACCCACGCCGCCCTGGAGGCAAGCGAGGTGTTTCTTGGCACGGACCCCCACTGTACTCACAGGTCGGAAGAAGTAGGCAGAAACATGAAGCAGGAAGGCGTTGAGAGTAGATTGGGTGCCCGCCCGCCCCCTAAAGAGGACGGAAACGGTGAAGCCGCTCGATCATCTGAGTAGGAAGGCGCTTAAAAGTAGATTGGAACCTGGGGCTCCGACCATACCTACTTTCAACGACCGATGGGCAAGGCCTTTGTGCGGCAGTGGCCGCTCGAATGTTTACTCCAAAACGAAAAACTGACCTGCAATGATTTCTCGCATCCAGAAATGATTCGTGCACGTCGCGCACACACAAACACACGTGAATATCTGTGCAACACGAACTCCTCCGTCCACGAGGGGTTCTTGACGCTCAGACTAGTGATTTCGCCCACCAGTACGTTTTCGCATATCTCACAAGAAGGGGGGAGGCACCCAAGAAGAGGCACCCAAGAGGCACCCAAGAAGAGGGGAGGCTGCAAAGAAGACCCCAAGAAGCCCGCAAGAAGCGTGCGAGCAACTCCCAAGAGTCACCGCAACAACCATGCACCGTCACGGCCAAGGTCCGGCTACGCCTCCGCGGAAATGCTCCCCGCTGGCCCAAGACGGCTCTGCCGAGCCTTCTGCGAGAGCTCGACAGAAGCATCGTGCGTGTCCCTCGATGCTGCGCTGGCACGTCGGCGAGGTTCGCCCCAGGCAGCTGCACATACAGCCAGGGTCTTGACCCAAGGAACCATAAATAATGAACGAAGCCCCTTTTTTGTCCAAGTAAGCCCATGCAAACCTAAGGAAACCTTTTTTCCCAGGTAGCGGAACGCATGCAAACCTAAGGAACGACCGAGCCCCTTTTGAGAAGGAAGTGTTCCTTACTCAAGGCTTTCACTGTATATCGGATTGGGTCGCAGCGGCGGAGGGTGACATAGGAGGAAGGAGATCCTTCAGAGATCAGAGACAAGGAGGGAACATGCATCCTTGTAGGTCCTCGGGGCCATGCGCAAGGAACTAGACACGACAGTCTACGATTGACCCGTGTACTGAGCGCGCCTTGTGTACGAAGGCCCTTCTTCACCTGTTGAGCGCTCCAGGACCTGGCTCGCTCTGTTGAGCCCCCCTGTGCTACCCTCGACCCACCCGCCAGGCTGGCAACCCAACCCTCACGGACACGGACGACCGTCGGGGATCTAGTGACCCGGGTGCATCCAGACCCGGATCAGTGAGACATTGCAAAATCCTGCACAGGATCCTGCAGGATCTTGCACCCTAACCCGGGTCAGTGCGCCCCTGGCCCTGCAGGGTGCTGCGACATCCAGCGCCCTGACTCTGACTGACCCGCGTTTGCTTTGACCTGCAGTCGGTGGTTCAAAGATGGGGTCCTGAGAAATGGGGTGCTAAGGATAGAAAGGGGCCCAAGGGTGGACTTGCGTTGCTTGAGGCACCTCGTCCTCAGGACCACATCGCTCAGGACCCCATCTTTGAACCACCGGCGCAGGATCCTGCAAGACGCGGCGCCCTGACGGACCCCGTCTGCACTGAGCCCCGCCTCTTGAGCCCACGAGTCCGTGCGGCTGCGGGGGGTCTCACCGCCATCGCTCCGACGTCCATTTCCCGTACGTTTGTCTGTTTCGTGCGTGTTTTTTTGGCTTGATGGTCGAGGGTGGCCTCGCCGCGAAAAACATGCACACGTCCGAGCGATGCCAGGTCTCCGGCCCAGCGGACCCCGCCGCGGAGCCTCGCAGTAGCTCCTCTCGGCCTGGTACTCGATGCCCTTGCACTGGTCCTTCGCCATGCAGAACGCCTCGGGCCGCGGAGGAGCTCCGGCGCGGGGCAGGAGGAGGAGGAGGAGGAGGAGGAGGAGGAGGAGGAGGAGGAGGAGGAGGGGGAGGGGGGGGGGGGAGGAGGAGGAGGAGGAGGAGGAGGAGGAGGAGGAGGAGACCGAGGAGGAGGAGGAGGAGGAGGAGGAGGAGGAGGAGGAGGAGGAGGAGGAGGAGGAGGAGGGGGGGTGGGGCGGACGGCGGGCGCCAGGTATCTATCGGCGGCGAGCGAGGGGGGAAGTGTGAAGGAACAGGCCCTCTCAGACAGTGGTGTCCTGCACCTTCGGGGAAGGCTTCTGAGAAGGCCCGCCCCTTCTGACTTCCCCCCCCGGGCTCGCCGCCGAAGATGGAGAATGTAGGGGGACGCGGGCGGGTAGGTGGTGGGGGGAACCAGGCAAATATTTAGGTCACCTGGCTCTGCGCGCCGATCCCTTCGATGTACGACGCGCGGCCAGCTTCGCGCCCCATTACGATGCGAGAACTGCCAAGGTCTCACAGCCAGCTTGAGTTCCATTCCAGAGTCGGGGCACGGTTGTCGAATAAGCACTTCAATGTGGACGAACATCAAAACTGCCGCTGCCAACGGCACTGGCACATGCACCCCCAACAAAACAAAAGCGTACTCGCTGAATCACAGCCCGATGACAACATCCCCCGTAAGGCTGGCTGACAATACAAGTCTACCATCTGCAAGCGGCAACGCCTCGCACTGCTCGAGGGAGTTGGCCGTGTACGTCCAGTAGTAGTTGTTGTTCGGCCTATGCAAATTCGTATGCAATCCGAACTACTGTAGCCATTTGCCAAACGCTGGTGGTCCAGGCACAATGCGACGACAATAACCGCCACCGTGCCTGCATGCTGTGGGCACCTGTGAACTGCCTGGAAAGGTTTATGCAAATCCTCTGAGGCCACCCACTTTTCATCGCGCGTCTCAAGCAGTTCTGGTCGCTTTGACGCTCAAGGCTTCCAAGACGACCCAGGACGGCGACCAATGTCAACAAGACGGCCCATACTTCCCTTAAGAACCATTATACCTCAAGAGGCGCCAAGGGGGCCCAAAAGGCATCCAAGGCACTAGAGGGGAAGGCTTATATAATAGGCCATCCCGGAAGGTCATCACCATTTGAAACATTTGCGGAATGCCTAGACATGATGGAACTGTCTGTGTGTCCTGGACTTCCGACCAAGTGTGGCCCCACAAATAATTGGAGGATCCAAGGAGATGTTAAGACACCATACTGAAAGCCCCAAGAATCCCCATAGGCGCCTCGGACAGCCCAAGAGAACCAAATACAGCCCACGAGGGTCCCAAGATTGCCAAAGCTAGACCCACGAGGCTCTCGCAACATCCCCCTGAGACTCCAGGCGGCCAAGAGAAGCCAAAGACGGCCCGAGAAAATCATGAAACAACCCAAGAAAGGCACTGCGCCGGCCCAGCAGGAGCCACAGGCGGCTCAGATCGACGCCATGTTCTCAGAGGATCGAAACCAGATAAGTCACACGTTACGTTCTCCAGTGCGGTGCTCCAGGCATCATTACACAGAGCGAAGCGCTGGAACGGTGGCGGAGCCTGCTCGTGCAGCTGGATGGATGATCGCCTTAATTCTATCCGATGACAAATCGCCCCACATGGTACCTCACAAGATCGCCAAGACAACATGAACCGACACACGTACGAAGACGCAGACGATGACAAAACCCACTGCTGGGAACTATTACAATTATAAGTCGCAGGGCAAACCGAACTTCAGCAATGCGAATGACTGAGTGGAGAAGCTGAACGAAGGACGGCCGACATTTCCAAACATTCCTGTGGTGTGCGGTCCTTGTTTTGACGAGACAGCGCCCCGCGCCTCCTCCTCTCCTCTCCTCTCCTCTCCTCTCCTCTCCTCTCCTCTCCTCTCCTCTCCTCTCCTCCTACCTCCTCCCCCTGCTCCCTCCTCTCACCCCTGTCTCCGCCCTCCGAACGACAATTCCGGCACACTCCCCACACGCTCCGTGGCCCCATTGGGAGCTCCACCTAAAATGCTCCAGCGGCTGGACTCGCACGCGGCCCCCCGCCCCTCCGCACGACCAGCTCGGCGCACTCCTCGCACGCTTCGTGGCCCCATGGGCGAACTCCACCTGACGCTCGAATGGCCAGACTCGCATGCGGCTCTTCGCCCCTCCGCACCACCAGCTCGGCACACCGCTCGCGCGTCCCAGGGCGCTCCACCTGCTGCACCAATGCCCGGACGTGCATGTGGCTCCCCCGCCCCTCTGCACGACCGCTTCTGCGCACCCCTCTTTCGGGGGCGGCCACGAGGGGGGCGTCCAAGAGGGGGGGGTGCAAATCATGGCCGGCGGCATGTGCGCGGCCCCAAGGGGGGGGCCAGGGACGTAATGAAAGAAGAAAAGGCGCCATGACATGTGGTGAAGTATCATGGCCCACGCCATGATATCCACCCCCCTCTAATCATTCGCCCCCGTCTTGGCCGCCCCCGACTCTTTCGTGACCACACGATGGACTCGCAGGCGACTCCCCGCCCCTGCGCACGACGATTTCGGCACACCCCTGACACGCTTCGTGGCCCCATAGGCAGCTCCACCTAATGCCACAGTGGCTGGACTCGCATGCGCCGCCCACTTCGGCACACCCCTCACACTGGGCCCCATACCATAGGGAGGTCCAACTAATCCGCCGATCGGGCGCGTCAATCTGAGTTTTGATCATCTGAGCTTCAGCTCTGCTAAGGGGGGTGCCAGGATGGCTCGGCCGGGGAAAGGAAGAGATCTCTCCTAATTTTGCAGGGCACGGACCGGGGCCTGGCGAAGGCCAGGGCCGGGGCCGGGGCCGAGGCCGGAGCCGGGCCGGGGCCGGGGCTGCGGGGCCGGGGCCGAGGCTGGGGCCCGGCCCGGGCCAGAGCCCGGGCCTGTGCAGGGGCTGGTGCGGGGGCAGGCCGGGCAGGGGCCGGGGCCGCGGCCGGGACCGGGGCTCGGGCCGCCAAGGCTGGAACTGGGGCCAGGGCCTGAGCCGCGGCCAGAGCCGGGACCCGGGCCAAGGCGGGGACCCCCATGCACCAAGCCCAACGACCCACCAACGAGCCAACCCGTCAAGGAACTAGCCCGTCATCAAGCTCGACAGATGACGGACAAGACGCCATCATTCGATTCAAAACATCATAATGCCTAAGGCGACTGCCAACACCCTCCTCCCCCTCGTCCTCCTCCTCCTCCTCATTTTCTCCCTTCTCCTCCTCCTCCTCCTCCTCCTCCGCCTTCTCATCCTCCGCCTCCTCCTCCTCCTCCTCCTCCTTCTCCTCCTCCTCCTCCTCCTCCTCCTCCTCCTCCTCCTCCTCCTCATCATCATCATCATCATCATCATCATCATCAGCATCACCATCATCATTTTCCTCCTCCTCCTCCTCCATTCCTTTTCCTTATAAAATTACTTATCCCTGTCGCACCCCGAGGCCAGATTTACTCACCGCTTGAACATTGACAACGACTTCACGGATGGAGGGCGGGTGGTTTTCAAAATGTGAATCTCGCCTTAGCGCCGCGCACATTCGTTTTAAATATGTGCAAGAGTTTCACGGATTGAGGGCGGGTGGCTTTCAAAACGTGGCTCTCGCCTTAGCGCTTCGCACATTCGTTTTAGAACTTTGCGACTGTTTCACGGAGTGAGGGCGACCTGTTTTCAAAACGTGGCTGCCGCCTTAGCGCCGCGCACATCCCTTTTATATGCATTTACAACGGTTTCACGGATTGAGGGTGGTTCCTTTTCAAAATGTGGCTCTCGCCTTAGCGCCGGGCACACTCGTGCACAACAATTGCACGCGTTTCGCGGATTGAGGTCAACTTTAAAAAATGTGGCTCTCGCCTTAGCGCCGCGAACGTTCGTTTTGCAAACTTGCAGAATTTGTATTAGTTCCCATGATCAGCGTATCAGACATGATGTTTTGTAAGGATTCAGGATCATGAGGGCGCAACAGTTACGTTGATTCGTGTTGAAATCCCCAGAATGGCGCTCTGGCGCGATTCTGGATCGTCAAGACGCAATAATCAGGTTGATCCGTCGCTTGGAATTTCAAGAACGATGTTGTGTTGGCTTGCGCCAAGGCCTTCAAACAGTTGTCTTCCAATGAGGCAAATCCCTGTGGAAATGAACCCTTGTTTTTGGACGCCGGAAATGGGTACGGACAAAAATGGTACAATGCCCAACAACAAATGTTGTCCCAAACCAACAGCGGGCGCTGCTGGGCAGGCGGCCTTCTGTCCCAAATGGACACAGGCCGCGGCGGCGCGGACAGCGAGTCCTGTTCAAAATGAACAGGGACTGCTGTTGGGCATTGTATTTATTCTCTCTGTACCCATTTCGTTCGTGCAGACTGTAGGGGCCGGTGAAGAGGGAGCTTGGAGGGAGGGTTTATTCCAACATCGCCGACGACTCTTGGGTTTAAGCTGGTCTTCCTCCTCCTCTTCCGCCTCCTCCCCCTTCTCCTCCTCCTCCTCCCTCCTCTTCCTCCCTCCTGCTCCCTCGAGGTAAAACTCACAAACTATTCAGCAGGACGACAAATTCGCACGGACCGTCCCGGAACGTCCCGGATCGGCAAGCTCAGACCGGCGGCCTCTACAGTGTTTCAGCAGCTGGACTCGCATGCGGTTCCCCGCCCCCTTCGAACACACACACCTCACACGTTTCGTGGCCCGACCGAGAGCTCCACCTAGGGCCACAATAGCTGGACTCGCATGCGGCTCCCCGCCCATTTTGGCACACCCCTCACACGCTTCTTGGCACCATAGGAGGCTCCACCTATGTTTTGCTGGCCGTCATCGCATGCGGTTCTCCGCGCATGTCCGCACACCCCTCACACGTGCTGTGGCCCCGCAGGGAGCTCCACCGAAGACGATCCTCAGAGCTGCGATGCCCACACCTGCATATGAGTGGGCCCTTCGCCAAGATATGGCTGTATCATGTTCCGCATGCCCCCTTCCTCCGCGGGACCACATTCGGGGCCCCACCAGGCCCTCCCTGACAATCAGCATAAGCAGAGCAAACATATACGAATGTGTTATCACTGCTTCGGCATGCACGCTATTGATGGATATCCACTCCGACAAACAGCGCCTTAGGGTCAACTTGGTCCGCCATGGCAACTCTGAAGGAAACAAGGTGGGAAGTCTGCAGCAATAAACATGTTGTGCCGTTCTGCTGCGATTGCCTCTCCTGGTAGACCTGTGCGGTGCTCCAGGCACCATCACACAGAGTGAAGCGCTGGCATGAACGCCTCAATCCTGCCTGAATCAATATTTGTCCAAATGGTACATCAAGCCAACACGAACCGACACACGTAAAAGAAACAGACGATGTCAAAACCTACTGCTGGGCACCAACACGGCTATACTATCGCAGGACAAGCAATAACTCCAGCACTGCGAATTGGTGCGTAGATAAGCCTCATGAAGGACGGTGCCCCGACCAGAAACTACATATTCCAACCAGCATTTGTGTTGGGTCGGCCACGAAACCTGTGAGGGGTGTGCCGAAAGGGGGCGGCGCTGCAATGCGAACTGCGCCACTGGGACCTTAGATGGAGCTCCATATGGGGCCACGAAACCTGTAAGGGGTGTGCCAAACTGGGGCGCCGCCGCCATGCGAACTGCGCCACTGGGACCTTAGGTGAGGCTCCCAATGGGGCCACGAAACGTGTGAGGGGTGTGCCAAGAGGGAGGGAGGGAGGAGGGGGAGGAGGAGATGAGAGGAGAGAAGAGGAACGCGGGGACCGTCTCTTCAAAACGAACACCCAACACCATAAGCTGGTTGGGAACAAACAATGTCCGGAGAAACCGAAAGGTACCGATACTGCTGCTCCCTGGGAGTCTCCCGGGGTGCGTTCTGACCAGGATTTCGAGGCGAACCCAGCATGGCCGACGAGGGCCTCCCCGGAGGCCGAACAACAGGACAACGGGCGGAGGGGTAGAGGTCTGGGTACCTCTTCCTCCTCTGACTTACGCGCAAGAGACTAAAACAAACAGTCCCAGACCGAAGGCGGATGCCGCCATCCTTCGATCGGGGACGCGCAACCATGGAGTAGCGATCCATGGATTTGGCGCGCTCCCCAGAAGGCGGCTGGTGCCGCCTCGCTCGGCGGCGGAAATCCGCAAACTCCCATCGCGGGCGGACATCCGGAAACGGGACCCGTCGCTAATCCACGCTCCCTTGATCCATGTTTGCGATCGCCTGAGTATCGGGCGTTGGCAGAACTGGGTTTAGTGGAACCTGGTTTTGTGATCTATACCGAGGGCGCCCCCACGCCCCATTTCCACTAACCGGAACTGCCGTCACCCGAAAAACACCAGGTACGGCAAACCTGATTTAGTGAATCTGGCCAATTCAAGGGCTCTGGGGCCCTACCACTAACCGGGTCCCCTTACCCGGGGTCCTGGCTATACCCGATCCATGTGTGCGATCGCCTGAGCAGTTGCCAGATAGATGCACTGCACGTGGGGTGGAGGAGGCGGAGGAGGAGGAGGGGGGAGGAGTGAGGAGGAGGAGGAGGAGGAGGAGGAGGAGGAGGAGGAGGAGGAGGAGGAGGAGGAGGAGGAGGAGGAGGAGGAGGAGCGTGCACTCTCGTGTGTACTCCTCGGGCCCGTGGCGGCAGCCGCGCGGGGCCACTTGGAGCCCCTTTTGGGCCACCTGCCTGCCATCCTCGATCCCCCCCCCCCCCACCAGAGGAGCCAACACCAGAGGAACCAACCACCCCTGCCCCCACCAGAGGAACCAACAACCCCTCCCCCCCACCAGAGGAACCAACAACCCCTCCCCCCCACCAGAGGAACCAACACCAGAGGAACCAACAACCCCCCACCAGAGGAACCAACGCAATTTGCAGCCTCGATCCCCCTCCCCCCCACCAAAGAAACCAACGACTGCATCACTGGAATCTGCGATCCACGTTGGCGATCGCCGGAGTCGAGCCCTCTCGTGTCGTGGGGCTCCCGTGCCGAGGGGCGCTCTCTCCGTGCCCGCGGCGCGCCGCCCCCCTCCCACACCCCACAGGGGGCCGCCGGCCTCTGGGCGTCCGTGACGGTGTTCCCGCGGCAGGCGTGGTCGGTGCCGGGCTGGCCTGGGGGGGGAGGGCTATGTCTAGGTTTCGGAGAGCGAAAAAGAGAACTCGGAGGCCCGCGCGGACCTCTCGGATCGGCGGTGGGGCCGACGGCGCCAGAGGCGCCGCCGGGGGGGTCCAGCGCGGATCCGAGAAATCCGCGCAGACCTTCGAGTTTTCATGTTTACGTCATTGTTCGTTCACCTGCTGTTGCTCCCGTCGTACGCAAGGACCACATCCCAAAAATAATCTCGAGCATCCGCACAGGTATCGAAACGGTGTCGAACGAGTATCGCCTCCCAAGGCCCGACGTACGAAGGCCCTCCAGTTTCGGTACTCTCCCGCGGCTCGAACTTCTGCCTGGTGGTCAAGGCCAAGAGTAAGTTGGGCCGTCATGGAGGGGATGCGTCTCCCCGCATCCTGGAACATCGCCCTGGACTCATTGATGCGTTAGCGATCGATCGGCGATATGCCCCCAACGACGAGGTCGATCGCTCCTGAGCGGGGCGAGCTATCGGACCCCATATCGGCGATGAATGGTCGATCATGAGTCGATGCATCCCCCCCGAGCCTATCCCCCGCGGCAGGCGTGCTGAGGCTGGCCTGGGAGGGGAGGGATCTTTCTTTCTCGGGCGATAGAACAGCCCAGTCTCATGTGCAGGGTTGGCTAACAATGCATACAACAAGCTGTAAGCTGATCTATATATATATATATATACACATGTAGAAACATCTACAAAGACACATGAATGCTGCAACAGCACAAGGCACACCGCAGAGGGGAGGGGTCGCGTCGGCTGATGGACACAATCCTGCACCAACCGCGCGACTGGGGGGCCGGCGCTAACCTCAACGGGCCCCCGGGGCCCCCGATCACACGCTGGTCGGCATCGCCGGCGGGGCGCAGGACTTCGGCTTGTCGACAGATCGCTACATCACGACGCAGCCCGCAGACACAAAATTATGGGCGCGGTGTTTTCACGAAGGTCTCAATGCCCCCGTCCTCCGCGGCCGCCGTCTGTCTTCTCCCCCCTCCCTCCTGCATGCCGGCCGATTCGCGTTCCGGTCGCCCCGATCGGTCACCGCTGGTGCAGCTCTTCTGCCTCGCCGACGAAAAGAAATCACGAAAGTCAGCATGCAAAGATTGAGGCCTTGGTCCATCGACCGATGCGCGGAAGGCCAGCGGCAACGTAACGGGGGAACCGGGCTGGAGTCGGCGGCACGTGCCCGACAGATCGGGGACATGCCTCCGATGGCGAGAGCGCGCACGCTCCTTGGCTGGGTGGGCTATCGGGCCCCTGGCAGCGATGACTTAGCAGTGTTGGGCAGGTGCATGTTCCCCAGAGGAGGAGAAGGAGGAGGAGAAGGAGGAGCAGGAGGAGAGGGAGAGAGGGAGAGATGGAGGGAGGGAGGGAGGGAGGGAGGGAGGGAAGGAGGGAGGGAGGGAGGGAGGGAAGGAAGAGGGGGGACGCGCAGCATGGCCCGAGGCAGGTGCGCGGACGATGGGGGGGGGCAGGAGCGTGTTGAGCTAAGGCGCCTGAGAATAATCATGAGAAGAGGAATAACAGGAGATAACAATGAGAATAATGAGAAGATGAGGCATAATGAGAACAATGAGAAGATGGATGATAACAATGAGAAGATGAAGATCAGGAAATCCGCCGATCCGGCGTGTGAGTTTCTGAGAGCGTGGACTTGAGCTCGCTCAAGCTTCGCTCTGCAGGGGGGGGGCGTACGTTATTTCCGACGTCATTTCCGACGTTTTTCGGTACCCGGGGATATTTCCGACATCATGTCCGACGTTTTTCGGTCTCCCCCCCCCCCCGGATCGGCGGCACTGGCCGGAGGCCAGCCCAATAACAAGACTAAGAGCACGACCAATAATGCTGCTGAGAAACACATCCGTCGTGAGAGGCGGGGTGCACGGCGTTTGGGACACTCCATTGCGCCAGCCACGATAGGTACGCACACACATACAAACACACACACACACACCACACATACGCCACACACACACACGCACACGCACGCACGCACGCACGCACGCACGCACGCACGCACGCACGCACGCACGCACGCACGCACGCGCACACACACACAGCACACACACACACACGCACGCACACACACACACACACACACACACACACACACACACACACACACACACACACACACACACACACACACACACACACACACACACACACACACACACACACACACACATACGCCACACACACACACGCACTCACCAGGTCCTCACCTCTCTCCTGGACGACCGAGGCCGGGGCCGCAGGGTCAGCGATGCTGTCCCTCACGCAGCTGCTGCCGTCCCACGCCAGTGCCGGCGACGGCGCTGGAGGTGGCAGGAGGGACAACAAGGACGGCCCATCAGTCAACACCGAAGCGGGAAACATTGCTCGACCTGAACCGTGCTTCTCGTCATCGTGTTGTTTTCGCTTTCCTGCATGTTTGTTGTCGTTCCGCCGTTGCTGCAAAACGAAGTCGAAACGATTATGGCCAACGAAGTCGCCAGCACACCGCTCAAGGGTCGAGTCCTGGCGGGAAGCCGGACCGAATCGAAACGCGCGTCCGATCGGGCCGCACGGGCTTCACATCGAGGTCGGATCGGGTCGGCTGCGCCAAGATGCACAGCAACGCCATGCCACGCAAGCAGCGGGCCGCATCGGACCGTCGGAATCGGCCGGCCCTGTCGGCGTGTGGAAGGTCAGCATTCTTTTATTCGGCGTTTCGATATTGGGCGGAAGGGGGGGGAGGGGGGGGTCTGGCTCCAGACCTCTGCTTAGTGCGATTTTTTCCAGCAGTGCGTCCTATGGGGGAGGCTCCGCCTGCTTGAAACAGGCGCCAAGAACAGCCAAGATCTACTCCACAGGGAAGGGGCAGGGCGGGTGCGAGGGCCGGCGCCGATTGGCAAAACAACGAATCACAAAACGATCCCAAGAAGCTCTTACATTCGTCGCTGTTTCTTCTGTCGCCTCCTCCTCCTCGTCGTCGTCGAATCGGATCTGCTGGCGCCACATGCCACTGCGTGGCGGACGCTCCTCCTGATGGCTGCACACGTGGAGGGGGGGGGGCGCCCCTCTCGGCGTGACGGGCTCTCCCGACAGTTGCCCACAGGGACCCCCCCCCCAACCCACAAAAGGTCCTCCTCCTCCTCCTCCTCCTCCTCCTCCTCCTCCTTCGTCTCCTCCTCCTCCGCCTCCTCCTCCTCCGCCTCCTCACTCCTCCCCCTCCTCCTCTCCTCCTCCTCCCCTCCACCTCCTCTCTCCTCCTCCTTCGTCTCCTCCTCCTCCGCCTCCTCCTCCTCCTCCTCCGCCTCCTCCTCCTCTTCCTCCGGAGCACCTCTGTTGGCTCCCGCGTGTTCGGAGGACGTCGACTGTACACTCCGATCCTGGGCCCAGGATGGCCCCGACCAAGATTGGTGAGGTGGCGACTCGGGCCGATGAAGGCAGGCGCCTGTTGCCGTGCGCCCGCCCGCTGCTCGGGGGCCACTCGCAGGTATGACGCCTAAAAGACGGGGCCTGCGCCCTTGAGTAGTGTTCGACGGAAATTCATGGGAGCCTCCCATACCATCTTGTCGGTTGTTGCGAATCGACGCTAATCGACGCTGAGTCCACGCTAATCGACGCGAACCGACGCTACATTGGCTCTATCTCATCCACTCCCAGACGCTAATCGACGCTAGTCGACTCTAAAGACGGGATTAAGAGGGTATACCAGGCTCCCATGATTTGCTACCGAAGTAAAGGATTGGCCGCGCCTGAAGCCACAGACGGCCACCTGGGACGAGGCCGGCGCCGACCATCCAAAAAACAAGCGGAATGGGGAGGCTCCGCTGGCCTGGCTGGTTGCGGGGGGCTGGAGCCGCGAGGGAGGACAAACAGGGGCGGCCCTGAACCCCCAAGTGGGGGCGGGGAGGCGAATCCGCTGTTGGCCTGGGGGGCTGCAGGACCCCCCCCGCCCCACGAGACAGTGCTGCCTGGGCAAGAGAGAGAGAGAGAGAGAGAGACGGCGGGACCAAGAGCTCCATGCGGGTCCTGGGGAACCCTGAAGACGAAAAAAAAAAACATGTGGTCTCTGGGAGGGCCATCTGTTGTCGCTTCCGCCGGCTTCCGCCGGCGTAGCCGCCCTCGTCTTGCTTCTGCGGGCTTCCGCTGGCCTTCCGCCGCCTCTGCCGAGGACGAGGCGCCGCCTCCGTCGATCCCCGAGGGCGAGGCCTTTCCTGGAACGCCTCGCGTGGGCCGCGCCGGAGGCCACACACGGCCACCCTGAGCGACAGCTTCAGCGAACAGCTCGTGACAAACTTGACAAACAAACAGGCGACTAGGCCAATCAACACTTGACAAACAAACGGAAGCAGATCCTGGTTCCCATCATCGTCCTCCCCTTTTTCCTCTTCCTCCTCCTCCTCCTCCTCTTTCTCTTCCTTCTCCTCCTCTGGATGAATTCCTTTTCCTTGTGTATAACTCCCCCCTGTCGCACAGCTGGACGTGTAGGCCAGGCTTGGCGATTCGCATGAGATGTCCCCAGAAACTGAAATCCTGGAAATCAACAATTACAGCAGTTTCAAAGATGTAACCTGGGCCGTATTCAAGAGATGGTTCTCGCCTGAGCGCCGCGCGCACTCGTGTCTAGAACCTGCAACAGTTTCAACCATGGAAACCGGCTGGTGCTCAAAATGTGGTTCTCGCAGTAGCGCCGCGCGCATCCATACGCCTCAATATCCCATGCAACAGGTATATCCCAATGCACATCCGCCCGACCCAAGCCCCCACTACCCGATGCAAAACATACGAATCAACTCACATCCGCACGGCCCAACCCTCACCATCCCGTGCAACAGATATTCGGCGCACACCCATACGACCCAACCCTTCTTTCACCGTCTACCCAATCCAACTCTCACGACACGATACAAAACATCCGATCCGGTCTGCATCCACGCGACACCTTCTGCATCCTCCCATGGGAAAGCTCCCATGGGAAAGCATGGTTCGGTGCGCATCCGTCCGACCCAGCCCTCACAATCCTATGCAACAAATGCAATTCGGAGCACATGCATCCGACCCAAGCCTGACCATCCGATGTACAACAAGTGCTTTCGGTGCGTGTGTGCTGGTCTTCAGCATCGACCCACCCCCTGGCCCCGAAGAGCACATGGCCACAAACATCAAAAAACCAAACACAAGGATAGGTTTCAGGCACCCGTCGCCGACTCCGATTTTGAAACCAAGCGCTCCCCAGGCTGCCCCAAGCGTTCCCAGATGCCGCCAGGCGCTCCCACGCTAGAATCACCACCGAAGCGCTCCTCGGCTCGCCGTCGCCACCAGCAGCAACAGCATCCACATCCTCACCTTTACTGCCCTCGTCGCCGCAGGAGGCCTGCAGAAAGCAGCTCAAGTCAGGTCGCGTTGACGCGTGGACCACGACCGCTCTTCACCGCGGTGCTCGTGCTCTGCTGGCGCCGCACACCACCGCACTGCGTAGCAAAGAACAGGCAGAGGGCGGGTCGTGCTCAACAAGGGTCTCACGCCCTGGCGCGCCGTGCACACCCGGCTTCGAAGTCATCCCTGGCTGCGCGATTGCATGGCGAGTCCATTCCAGGACAGTGGGGTTTGGGACAGTAGGACCCCTTAGGTAAGGAGTCCAGGGCCTAACAGCTGGTGGAACTCCAATCGTGGGCCAACGATGGATAACCTCATGCCCGTGAGAATAAACACTAGGGGATAATAAAGTTCGGGGTTCAGGGAGAGATAATAAAAGTAGCCCAGCAGACCTCAGCATAATCTCGAAGTAAGAGATGATCAAGAGGAGACCAAGCCGAGCACGTTTTGAGCAACCAAGGGACAAGAAGAAATGAGGAGGAGAAGTAGAAGAGTAGAGGAAAGGAGGATAAAACAAAAAATCTGAAGATTCAAATGTATTAAAATTTTATTTACAAACGCTTTATGAAAATTACAATTTTTTAGTGCTCGTGTAGGGTAGCTCATGTGCCTCGCTTTCCGCGGATAATCAACCCCAGGGATAAACAAGTTCAGGGGGGGCGCGGGGAGAGAGAGCAAACAAGAAAGAAATAAAGACATATATAAAACATAAGAATATGAATTAAGAGAAAGAGAAGAGAAGAGGAAGACAAAGAGCAAACAAATCAAGTTCCAAATCTATTATATTTAATTTACAAACGCTTTCTGAAAATTGATGTTTTAAAGTGCTCGTGTAGGGTAGCTCACGTGCCTCGCTTGCCATGGATAATCAACACCAGGGATAAACAAGTTCAGGGGGGCATGGGGAGAGAGAGGAAAAAAGAAAGAAATAAAAACAATATATAAAGAAATGGAAATATAAATTAAGAAAAAAGGCGGAGAAGAGAAGAGAAAGAAAAATAGCAAAAAAATAAAGTTCCAAATCTCTTCGCTTGATGTTGCTATCTCAACATCGCTTGATGTTGCTATATCAGCATCGCTTGATGTTGCTATCTCAACATAGCGTTTCGAGGTGATAATGAAGTTCGGCCTCAGCGCTCGCCGCCCAATTTGAATTTTGTATAGGGCGACGATAATCAACTCTAAACACTGAAGGGGGGGGGGTCCCTTTATTATCATCGGCATGCGGTTATCACCGCCGCCGTCATCGGAGTAGGGATCCTCCAGGGTCTGCGCCCTCCTGGGCACATTCCTTGACGAGCGCCCCCACCGTGATGAGGCCTCCCCTTGGCCTCGCACGCACTCGAATACAAACTCCACCATCCACACTCACGAGACCTCTACGACGACCTGGCGTTCCGTATGTTGCACAGCGAACACGGATGGAGAGCGGCTCCTCGTTCGAGACGGGGCTCCCTCGTGAGACTTCCGCGAAGCAGACGTCCACGACGTTGACATCCTCCAACCGTCGACGGATGGAGGGCATGTTCTTTTTTAATTTGGGCTATCCTTGGGCCTCCTTGAAAGGCTCTCGCGTGCGATTTCCGCGACGCATACGTCCACGAATTTGACCATCTGCGACGCTCGGAAACGGATGGGGGGGTATGTGATTCTCAAAATGGGGCTAGTCCTCCAAGTGGAGGGAGGATCCTTTACAACAGGCGCCCACGCCTGCCTGGCGGACCCACTGGCCGCTCGTCATTCAAGGGCTCGCCCGCAGTGGAAAGGAAGACTTGTATGGATTTGTGAGGAGGGGACTTGGGGCGGGAGGCTGCTTTGCAGCATCGGCTGATGCATCTTGGGTGTACTCTGGTCATCCTCCTCCTCCGTCTCCTCCGTCTCCTCCTCCTCCTCCTCCTCCTCCTCCTCCTTCAGTAGCTGCAGCTGATGGCTCTGGTGTTCGTCCGAATGCAGCCATCCCCCTCTCTCGAGGGGCGGTCGCCCCTGGGGCCTGGGGTGATCAGACCAAGTCCTCTGCATCCTCCTCCTCCTCCTCGTCCTCCTCCTCCTCCCCCTCCTCCTCCTCCTCCTCCTCCTCCTCCTCCTCCTCCTCCTCCTCCTCCAGGATGCTCCGCGATGGTCGCCGAGGAAAAATGGTGGCTCTGCCTGGGGGGTCAGGTCAGGAGGCGGGCCATCCGCAGGCGATGGAGCTGTTTTCACCTCTGCGGCGATGGAGCTGCTTTCACCTCTGCTTTCACCTCTGCAGGATGCTCCGCGATGGTCGCCGAGGAAGAATGCACCCGTCCGAGCGAGGCCAGGCCAGAGCACCCCCCCTCCGGAGGCACCGGCGCGAGCCGCGGGCAGGGAGGGCGAGAGAGCGCCATGCCTCGGAAGGGGGCGAGCACGAAGGTGCCGTCGAGCACCGCTCCTGGCCACCGGAGGCGAGGGACGCCCGCGAGGGTCGGCGGCGAGCGAGGCGGAGAGAAGTTTAGGAGGCAACTGCTGGGAGGTCTTCGTCGGAAGGATCAGGGAGCATGGGGCCCCATCGGGGGGCTACTGCGCCGGATCAGGCCGCGGATTCAGCGGGCCCAGGCCAGATCAAGCCGGATGCAGCTGGATGAAGCCTGACTTCGGCCCAGGGCAAGATCTGAATTCGGCCTCCCAGGAGTTGCACCCGAAGGCCCGAAGGGGGGGAAGCGACAGGGAGAAGACCCTCTTAGAAGGCGGCGGGGCTTCTCAGAAGGGGGGGAGAGGAGGAAGAGGAGGAGGAGGAGGAGGAGGAGGAGGGGGAGGAGGAGGAGCAGGAGGAGGAGAGGAAGAGGAGGAGGGAGGAGGCGGAGGAGGAGGAGGAGGAGGAGGAGGAGGAGGAGGAGGAGGAGGAGGAGGAGGAGGAGGGAAGGAGGAGGGAGGAATAGGAGTAAGAGGAGGGAGGAGGAGGAGGAGGAGGAGGAGGAGGAGGAGGTTAGGAGGAGGAGGAGGAGAAGGAGGAGGAGAGGAGGAGGGAGGAGGAGGAGGAGGAGGAGAGGAGGGAGGAGGAGGAGGAGAGGAGGAGGAGGAGGAGGAGGAGGAGGGAGGAGGAGGAGGGAGGAGGAGGAGGGCAGGAGGAGGGAGGAGCAGGAGGAGGAGGAGGAGGAGGAGGAAGAGGAGGAAGGGCTGGAAAACTTCTCGGAAGGGCTGGCGACTTCCGGGCACTCTGAGCAGGCCCGCCCCGCCTCACGCCGCCCTCGGGCTGGCCGCCGACGAGGGGGGGCCCGAGGACGCACGCCCTGCTCTGGCGGCTCCCGCTCCAAAACCTTACCCCCACTGCTCCTGGAGTTCCCCTCCTCCCTAACAAGGGATACGTCGACCCCTATCCCAGGCTTCGTGGGGGTTCCGAATGGACCAGAGCAGGAGGAGGAGGAGCAGGAGGAGGAGGAGGAGGAGCAGGAGGAGGAGGAGGAAGGAGGAGGGAGGAGGAGGATGAGGCGGAGGGAGGAGGAGGAGGAGAGGAGGGAGGAGGAGGAGGAGAGGAGGAGGAGGAGGAGGAGAGGAAGGAGGAGGAGGAAGGAGAGAGGAGGAGGAGGAGGAGGAGGAGGTAGAGGAGGAGGGAGGAGGAGGAGGAGGAGGAGGAGGAGGAGGAGGAGGAGGAGGAGGAGGAGGAGGAGGAGGAGGAGGAGGAGGAGAGGAGGAGGAGGACGGGAGGAGGGAAGCAGGAGGAGGGGGGAGGAGGAGGAGGAGGAGGAGGAGGAGGAGGAGGAGCGGAGGAGGAGCTGGAAAACTTCTCGGAAGGGCTGGCGACTTCCGAGCACTCTGGCAGGCCCGCCCCGCCTCACGTCGCCCTCGGGCTGGCCGCCGACGAGGGGGGCCCCGAGGACGCACGCCCTGCTCTGGCCTCCCGCTCCAAAACCTTACCCCCAGTACCACCCCGACTGTAAACTCCCAAGGAGCTTTCCCCTCCTCCCCTCCGCGTGGTACAGGGCAGCTTCTACTACATAGGATGTTTGAACATATCGGGTTTCTCATACATGCTTCACTTATGAATCCGCTCATGCATGAGCTCCTCGTGGTTTTGAATACCAAATCCCTGCACTTTGAATACATGATCCGCACGCGGGGCATGTATGAAAAACGGCACTGTGGATAGAAACAGAGAAAAGGCATAAACATAAACTTTCGACGGTCCACGCGGATTTCTTGGGCCTGCGCCGGACCCACTCCCTGGCGGGCGGAACGCGCCAGGAGCGCGCCAGGGGCGGCGCCGGAGGAGCCGCCGGGGGGGGCGCCCAACGCGGATCCGAGAAACCCGCGCGGAGCGCCAAAAGTTGATGCTTATGCCGTGTTCTCTTCTTCTTCTTCGAGTAGGAGGGGGAGTGCGACGACGACGACGCTCACACGCCACGCGACAGCGCTCTCGGAGGGAATGGGGTCCCGCCGTCAGCATGCCCCCGCGCCCCTGCCCGTGGCGGGGCCCCGAGGGCGCGCGCTCCCCGGAGATCCTGGCGCCTCGGCTGCTTCGAACCGCGCGCGCTCGTCAAGGTTCGGGCCCCTGGACCCTCACGAATCGATCCGGCTCGACATGCAGCAGTAGAAGAAGAAGAAGAGAACGAAGACGAACAAAAACTGTATAAGCATGAACACGCCAGAGGCGCCACTGGGGGGCCCACAGCACGGATCCGAGAAATCCGCGCGGAACGCCAAACGCGTATGTTTATGAATATGCTGCTCCTTCGAAGAAAGATGGGCGGTCTGGGGCTCAGGTCTTTTTTTTCTCGACCGCCTCCGCGCGGAGGGCGTCCGGCTTCGCGAGGAGACCACCCGCCGTGCGGCGGGAATCGCTCGTTGGTCGCCGTCGGCGGCGTCGTCGTCGAGGCGGACGAGCCCTCGTCGTCGTCGTCGTCGTCGTCGTCCTTATTGTTTCAGTTTTCCCGCCCCGAGGGCGCACGCACGGCCCCGACGAGGCCACGCGGGGGGCCGTTCGTCGCGGCCGTCGCGCTCGCCCGGGCGAGGGTGCCGTCCGACGCCCTCTGCGTCAGAACAGGGAACCTGCGCATGGCTGCGTCGTGCTCCTGCTCTAGGGGAACAAACGAACAATGACATTCATATAATAATAATAATAAATGAATAAATGAATAAATACATACATAAATAAGTAAATAAGTAAGTAAGTAAATAAATATATAGATACATAAATACATACATAAATAAACGAATTATAATAAAAAATAGTAATGATAATAACTCGGAGGTCCGCGCGGGTTTCTCGGATCCACGCTGGAGACCCCTGGCGGCGAGGGGGGTCCAACGCCGAGCCGAGAAATCCGCGCGGACCTTCGAGTTTTTATTGCCATTGTTCGTTCCCCTATTATCTGGCGAGTTCGGTGGCAACCCACGGGAGCCTCACACACCATGTTGTTGGGCTCTGCGAATCGACGCTAATCGACGCTACAGTCAACCCGCAGAATCAGGATGGGCATCCTTCCCGATGGGAGCTCTCGAATCCTTGCCCCTTCGGCCCATATCTAGCCACTTTGCTGGCGGCACCCCACTCGAAGAGCTTCGAAATGGCCCTCCAAGGCCCTTGCATCCTGATCGTGCGTCCTCACTGTGCCGCTTGACTGTGGTCGACGCTAAACCGACGCGCATCGACGCCGATCGAAACTACAGTGGGTGGAGGTCGAGCAGCCAAGCCGTCCTGGGTGTCCAGACGTTTGGCATCCGTGCGTCCTCACTGTACCGCTTGACTGCAGTCGGCGCTAGACTGGCGCGAGTCGACGCTCATCGAAACTACAGCGGGTGGAGGTCGAGCAGCCAGGCCGCCCTGGGTGTCCAGACGCTCGTTGGCGGCGCGCAAGAGGGGGTATGGGGGAGGGGGGAAGGCTTCTTAGAAGCACCCTGCTTCTTAGAAGGCCTCGGCCTTACGTCTATAGAGAAGGCCCCGCGCCTTCTAAGAAGCAGGGGTGCTTCTAAGAAGCCGTCCCCCCTCCCCCCACCCCCCTCTGCGCGTGGCTGAAGCCAGGCCGCCCTGGGTGTCCAGACGTTTGGCATCCGAAAGGGTGCGAGGGCAGGGCGCTCAGATGTCCAACGCTCTGCCGTGAGCCACCGAGGGCTGCCAAAGCCAGGAACTTGCCGCCGCTCGGACGTCCATTTCCCGTATACTGTTCGGTATCGTGCGTGTTTTTTTTTGCTCGTCGGTCGAGGATGGTTCAGGTCAGGTGTGCCAGGCGCCTGCACGGCGCATCAGCAGGGCGAGAGTGCACGACCAAACGCCGAGGGCACATGGGCTCGACCAAACGCCGAAGGCGAGAGGGCTCGACCAAACGCCGAGGGCGAGAAGGCTCGGCCAAACGCCGAGAAACAAATGTACACGTCCGAGCGATGCCAGGGGAAAGAGGACAGGCGGCCTGCGCCCAGCCTGGCTCCGACCGTGCCCGCGCGGAGGCCCGCACGTGCACACCGACACCGACACGGGGAGGTACCTCCACCATGATGAGATGATCATCGATTTCGCTGCTGGTGGTCATCCTTCGGCCACCTAGGAATCCATAATATTACCACCGTCACCGAATTCGAGATCATCGTCCATCGGTGGAGGCACACCGGCGACTTTGGTGTTGGTGTCATCCTCTAGGCCTCCGAGAGGACAACTCCTCCCAAAGCTGGCCCCCGAGTCCGGCGTTTCGTATTGGGGGGCGATGCACACAACCCTGATATCAAGGATGATCGTGCTCCCGAGGACACCTTCACACTTCACAATTCATGCCTCTTCGGTCACCTCCGGTCCATCCTCGGCCACTTTCAATGGCAAGCCCCGCTCGAAGAACCTCGGCATGGGCGTCCAAGGCCGTTGCATCCCGGCCGCGCATCCTCACTGCATGGGTCGACTGTGCAGGCCTCCCCCCCTCAACAGACCCCTCTGCCGACACTGCGCCAAGGCCGACCTGACCCATCACATGGAAGGGGAGGGGGCTCCGCAGGTGGCCAGCCCTCGCGACACGCCCATCCGAGGAAGGATCCTGCCCCCTGCGAAGCTGCTCGAGGGCCTCTTCGCCGGGCTCTTTCCCCCCCCCCTTCCACTCCCCTCTGCTCCCCCCCTTCCCCCTCAAGTGCAGCTCTCAAGCCGAGAAAGGGAAGGATGAGGAGACGAAGGAATAGGAGGAGGAGGAGGAGAAGAAGAAGGAGGGGGAGGAGGAGGAGAAGCAGGGGGAGGAGGAGTGGCCACCCTGTGGGGCGCGTGGCCACTGGAGCCCGGCGCGGGAGGGCGGTCCGAGCCCGCCGCCGAGAGCACGCGTCCGGCGGAGCGAGCCTCGAGCCGTTTTCGGGCCCTGGCCGGGCCCCGCTCCGTCCCCCTGCCTCTCCCGCCGCCCTGCGCCTCTCTTCTGTTGGAGGCCTCCTGGGCAGTTTGGTGCTCTCCTGGGCTGTCTTGGGCCAATCTTGGAGGCTTCTTGGGCAGTGTTTGAGCTGACGGAAGCCCGAAGCGAAAATCTTTCAATCACTTGAGGAGATTGCTGATCTGTTTGTCTTTTCGGGTACTCCAGAGGGTCCTGTTGGAGCCCTCTTGGGCTGTCTTGGGCCATCTTGGCGGTCTTGGTGGCCTTCGTGGGCCGTCTTGGATTCATCCGAAGGCCTCCCCCGACCCCGACCTTGGCCACAGACTGCTGCAAGACGCCCTGGGGCAGATTGGAGATGGGGTCCGAGCAGGTGGATTCAGAGGATGCGCGATAGGGACGCAGGGGCCTTGGAAGGCCATGTTGGCGTTTTCGAGTGGGGCTGGCCAGCGGAAGTTGCCAGGGATGGGCCGAAGGGGCGAGGACGCAAGGGCAACCTTGTAAAGTTGCTCCTCTTTGCTGTGCGGGTTGACTGCAGATGGGGTCGGAAATTCGCGCCGGCATCGCCGAGGCATCGCCGATGAATCGGCGATGCATCGGCGTGTCGAAGATCGAGCTCCACTGATGAGCCTGTTCTCCACCACCACCATAAGCTGGAGGGGGGGAGGAGGAGGAGGGCGAGGAGGAAGAGGACAACGAGGAGGAGGAGGAGGAGGAGGAGGAGGAGGAGGAGGAGGAGGAGGAGGAGGAGGAGGAGGAGGAGGAGGGGGCGGCGGGGGAGGAGGAGGAGGACCCCCCCTCCAACTTGTGGTGGTGGTGGAACACGCGCCCATCATCCACATCGAGCCGATGCTCGGAAGCCCACCCCGCCGCGAGGGACCCACGCGGGGCGCTGGCCCGCTCCTGGCGTGGGCAGCTCCGAGAGCGGCAGGGACGCCGCCCCGCTCGCGCAGGACGCCTCCTGGCGTCGAGCGAGGGGGGGAGGAGGAGGAGGAGGAGGAGGAGGAGGAGGGGGAGGAGGAGGAGGAGGCGGAGGGGGGAGGAGGAGGGGGAGGAGGAGGAAGGAGGAGGAGGAGGAGGAGGAGGAGGAGGAGGAGGAGGAGGAGAGGGGGGGGAGGGGGAGGAGGAGGAGGAGGGGGAGGAGGAGGAGGAGGAGGGGGAGGAGGAGGAGGAGGAGGAGGAGGAGGGGGAGGAGGAGGAGGAGGAGGAGAGGAGGGAGGAGGAGGAGGAGGAGAGGAGGAGGAGGAGGAGGAGGAGGAGGAGGAGGAGGCGGAGGGGGAGGAGGAGGGGGAGGAGGAGGAGGAGGAGGAGGGACGCCGCGCAAGGCTCACCTCGGAGGACGCGGGGAGGCATGCTCGCGTCGTGGCGC